ACACACAATCTGCGTTTTATAATAAGTAAGATATATGTTAAAACGAGATGTCAGTGTTATTTTCATTTCTGCGTAATTAAGACGACAATTTATCTATCGTACCTTGTATGATGCTTAATTCAAACAAATGATTCAAACCGGAAACCTGTGAGTTACTTTGATTTGTTTCTATATTTTAATTTGTTTTCTTTTATTCTTAGGTAAAAAATGACTGAATGAAAATAGATGTTTTATTTTTGAAGAAAGATATTTTTCTAACCTACAATTTTAAACCCATATTTTATTAATTACTTTAAATCTGTCACCTAGAATAGTCTTTGTCTCTAATGACTTTAATCCATAATTTAATCGGAACATCTCACGAAGCCCCCTGTTATCTCTGACCGCCACAATGGGAATTAGACGATGTCGGCACTGTTTATACATACATTCTTCGCCCAGGTTTCCAGTAGTCGGGTCATTTAGTGGTCAATAGATAACCAGATTAAAAATAACTATCCGGTCTCTACACCTTGTCCACTAGACAACAGTCTATTTTTTTCTTTCTGCTTGCAAAATGAATAAAAGTAATGATCATCACTAACGTTAGTGTAGCTTAGGAAACACACCTACATAAGCAACAGAAATAAAACGACAGACCATTGCGCAGCCACAAGTAAATCATTGAATTATGCCTTTTGTGTTATACAGTTGTTTTTCGGTGGATGGAAAAAAAGGTTGAGGATGACTTTAATAAATATTAAATGCAATAATAAATAATTATCGCTTTTGTTTATCAAGCGTATTCTTTAAAACGAAGTAAAATTATATTTTATTCAGTTACACATTCATGGTGGACTAATGTATTGCGCTGTGAGCTGAGGAATCAGAGTACCGAGTTCGAATTCCAGTTGAGGAGTTCATTATATTCACTGACGTGCTAATGTCCCTGGAAAAGATATGAATCCATGTCTTCTCCCCACAGCTATGGGTAAATAGCAGGACAACCTGTGTTATATAGCCATGTGTGGTAAGTGATTTAAGTGAAGGAATAACTGAGTTCAAAGGCAGGGTGTTTGAGTTGTGCCACACTATCCTACCTAGGAAACAACACTAAAGACTATCTTGCCCAGGAAACACCACTGAAGACTATCTGCTAGACTATCTTTCGCAGGAAAGACTCGTAAGTGTTTATGGGTCTCGGGATACATTCCACTTTATTTTCAATGACTTATCACGTACCTGGAATCACTTCCATAACTTTTGAGTAAAATTCAATAAGTTTCGATGTGAAAAAAATTAACTTTTATGTTGAACATTATCTTATGTAAAATATTTATATCTGATTATATATATATATATATATATATATATATATATATATATATATATAAATTATTAAATTATAAGTGTTTTTATGTGATAAAATTCCTGGTACTTTTTCCGTTGTTTAAAAGTGGAAAGGTATTTTATGCAGGCAGGGTTTTGTCATGAAGTGCTCGATATCAAAAGGTACGGATACAATGTTAATAGAATTAATGTAGAGAAACTTATCATTTAATTGTGTATTGTTAAGCTATAATTACCTACTATCTATATTTCTCATGTTGTCTGTCTGCGTGTGTGTCGTGGGCGTTGTTACCTCCCCCAGGCCGCATTTCTCACCCGATTTCGATGCGGTTTTCACCATACGTTTGCAAATGGCTGCCGTAAGGATATGACCGAGCCCGATTTTTGAGTTCGGACTCAGGTTCCGAAAAAATCGATAATCGAAAAAATCTGCTTACAGAAGGAATGATTGCATTACAACCAAATTTGACACCCTCTTAGAGTCTACCATTAGAAGTGTTGCCCAGAAGTTTCACGACCACGGACCCCTAAACAGCGCGGAAAATCGATAAAATCCAAAAACCGATACGCTCAGATTGCACCTGAACCGCATGCCGGTTTTCAGCTAAATCTGACCGGATTTATGACGAGGCCATTGGGAGTCACCATGTGAAGGGGCCATTTGAAGGGTTTGAAGGACCAAGGACAAACGCTGTCTGTCATTGGTGTACACTGAGAGGAGCAGTGCTTCTCAGACGGCCAACTTTGCTTGCTCTCGGGTCGGCAGGCGCGAGGATGTGTTCCTTTATTCACCCTCGCAAAAAGCTGAAAATGTGGTCTACACTGAAGTCCTCAGCCAGTGATACGCAAACTGCATTCCATTTTTCCTTTTCATGCAAGAAAATTGCTGTATAAGTCGTACGATTTTTGAATCAAGCAGGGGCAACGCCGGGCCATGCTGCTACTATACTATAATTTTAGAAAGTGGAAATTACACTGACTTATAATCGAAGGTTTCAAAGTCTTCACCTGAAATTTTAAAAAATTAACTTTAATCTAAATGGTTACAATATAGGAAAAAATGTGTCAGTTTAAAGATTACCCAGATCAACAAACACCTGATGAAGGCTGGAGGACACAATGGTCGAAATTTTGCAAAGTAAAATCCTTATGTTTAACTTGATAGAATCCATCAGCGGACGAATCACGTTGGTAAAGAAAAGCTTTCCTTATGTCTTTATTCATATAGTCGTTTTGCAGATATATTTTATTTGTACCTGAACCTAAATACGCATATATATTTTTTCAAACATATATTGTTAAATTTATCAGACAATGAATGTCTCCTATATTTGATTATAACCCGTTCTAAACTTTGTATAGTTGCTTTAATTTCAGGAGAAAATGAACACAAAACTTGTCTAAAAAATGAATATTTTTTATTATGCTGTTCCTTGATCTAAGCTTTCGGCTCTGATGAGCCATTTTCAGAGTGGTTATATGGACATTTAAGCAAGGATATTCACAATCAAAGATGATATTCTGTTATATTTACATAGAAGTTATCTATGTGATGATAACGGTCGCGGAATAGTAGATGCAAGTCGTAAATTCGTGATGTGGTTCTATCTCGCTGTACCATCAAGAATTCGTTTTTAGTATTAAAACAAATTTAGAACACTATTACGGTACTGTCACGCCATTTAAATTGTAAGTGGAAAGAAAAGTATTCCCATTTGTAATTATTATTATTGCAGAATATTTATAAATTATTCTCAACTAAGTCTTTAACTGATATATCAACCGGCACAAAGTCTCTTTTTATATTTGCCTAACCAAAATCCTTTTAAACTGTCGACATCTTTTTTCTAGAAATTGTGTCCATTTTGCTGCAAATCCATACAGTACATCCTCGGATATAAGCCAATTTTATGTATAGTGTGAATCCTGGAATTTTTTAATGAATTTTAATCTCTGCTGCAAAAATTTCCCGTTTTTTACGATTTTAACCTCTAACCTTTGTATAGTGCGTCACCCTATTTTGGAGGGTAAAAACGATCGTCGAAACTCACACTATACTCGACTAGAAATGGTATTTCTTTTATTGAAGATGGAAACGTGAAAAAAAATTCAGTGAAGTATTGTATTTTCAATTTTTTTTAATAGTTTAGACTTAAAGAAAAGAAAGGCGCTTCGATGTGGTTTAATATTCAGCATGAATGTCTTGCTTGATCAATTACAAGTAGTGACTTCGATCCTCACTGGGTGCTGCGTAATCTCGGCCTTGTGCCCAAACTGAATTATGCTTAGTAAACCGCTATATAGAAAAAGAAAGCGTTTAATCTAATGCCAGGAGGATATACCAGTTGTAACAGCAAAATTACCCAAATCGTGTAAGAGCATAATTGTCCATCCCACAAAATGTTTAATATCTAAAAAAAACACTAAACTTATTGATTTGCTTTTTCCCAGGTTTTCAGATAAGCCGTTTAGCCATCTTGACACCATTTGCCGTAAGAATCATTGAAAAAAAACCCCTATTCAATTAGAAAGAGAACAGGTTAAAATCGTTTTATGTCAGTCCCACTGTGTCTTCCCATCTCAGCAATAGCGAGAGAAAAAAGATCATCCAGACCTTCAGTAATGGTACCAACATTCATACTCTAGCTTCCATCTTCAAAGTTTATTCAAGAACCATCAATATAACAGTGAACAATTTAAAAAAGAAAGAAAGAACAGTAGAGAAGAAAACTGGATCAGGAGGCCACAACAGGAAGACGGATGATGATTTCAACTTAAATCTAATTATATCCTTATTATTGAAAGTAGAGTACAGTAGTGTTATAAAAACCTCGGAGAAATCCAGTAAGATATCATTTCTATGATACAACGATTCAAAGCTTTTAATCTAACAATTTTACTGTTACATGATTTGGACAATTTTGCTGTTACTCCCGATATGTTAATAACGTAGCATAGTCGAATAAGTGCCATGAATTGCAGTTTATAAAAAAAATATCCAAATTCTGACGTGCTTGTTGGTCAAGATAATCTTTCCATCATTAGCATAAAGGTCAATTGACGAAACGAAAAATAATTTCGAATGAAAAAAAATGTTCATTATTAATTTTATTTTTGAATGAAACTTAATTATACTTTTTTATACAAAAATTATATAAAATCATTTGTGATGTGAATCGATCAATAGAAGTAATTAAGAATCGGCTGCTAATTATTAATCGATATATTAATAAAAATTAAAGCAACCTCCATTCGACATTGGTATTACATTTAGTTGATTTACTTCTTTTTGTAACTAACAAGGTTGTTTTTATTGATTTATTTCTATTTTTGATCAACGACAATCTTACGTGCTTTTAATTCGAATACCGATGTTTTTATAGGTTCTTATTTTATTTAACTGATATTGATTTCAGCGAGACAGCTAAAGAAAATAAAGAACTTTTTAGGATTTCTTCAAATTTAACTCCATTTAATATTTTATTTTTCCTTCTGTTTAAGGTGAACTTTCAAGGTAAAAAGCTATATTTAGACATTTAATATCTAAACGTTAACTTGCAAAAATATTTAAACCCGTTTGTTTTCTTCAATTGCGAAGGGATTATTAATATTAAGGAATATTTTTAAGTGATAAGAAAACGAGATCTGATTTTTCCAATTTGTCTCCGGGGTTACGGTCATATCCCGTTGACACACCGATTTCCGTACGATCTGCGAAGTTAAGCAACGTCTAGCCTGGTTAGTACCTAGATGAGCGACAACTATGGAATACCAGATGCTGCTAGCTTGGATTTGTGGATAATAGGATAATAGGTAATGGCTGAGAATTGTTAATCGCAGAGCCGAGTTCTAATTCTCATTGTCTTAGTTATATTCATTTACGTGTAAATAGCCTTGGGAATCATCTTTTCCTCTCCCAGGTATCGATTATTTAGTAAGACTTGTACTGTTCAATAATTTTTAAAAAACACATCTTACGTTTTTAAAATAAATATCTAAATAACTTGCAATGGGTTGATTAGCCATAAAAAACCCAATCAATTAATCACTACCTATTAATATTTTCTTCATCCGAATCAAGGAAATAAAATAAAAATACCAATGTACATTCGTATATGCCAGAAACTGTCAACCGTCATCTCCCTTTGGCCTGTCCCCTCAGGACACTGCTGATCATGACTCTCTACAATTTTCTGTCATTGTAGCTCTTAATAATTTTGGCTTTTTGCTATCTTTCCCAAGTTCTGTACCGCCATCTATTCACTCATCAAGCTCGCCAGTTAGGTGATACATTGTTTCCCTTTTGTCCTTCTTGCCCTCAGTTAGTTCTGTGCGTATCAAAATTTAAAAGGCCTCTTGTAAATGTTAACATATTTTTTAATGGAAACTCTTTCACATAGATATGCTCTCTCTATCATATATATATATATATATATATAAATATATATATATTTATAGAGAGAGAGAGAGAGAGAGAAAGAGAGAGAGATGGGCGTGAAGAAAAAATAAATAACAAGATATTAGCAAATGTATACGTGTGCGATAGCGTACAGACACATAAATATTTATTTAATTTAATTTATTGTGCAAACAAAGCAACGCTCAATGAAATTGAACAGAACTATCAAGTATATATTAATAAATACATATATAACTAAGTTTGTCCTGCAACCTAAATTTTCATAGTTTCCACAGTCGTCATGCACATATATCAAATGAACCACTTAGTATAGTTGTTCCTTTAAAACATATATATATATATATATATATATATATATATATATATATATATATATAATTTTTTCGTTAATTTTATTTTACACCATTCATATAGTGAACAAATATTTCGATCGATATAATTATTTTAATTAGATACCAAAATCAAACAATTTTTATAACAGAAAACTGTGGATACTGAAATTCGAAACTACATTGGAATAGCAAAAGATGCCTTTCAAAAACTAAGCAAAGTATTTAAAACATTCGTTAGAAAGAAAGAAAAGAATATTGAAGAGTTATGTTATATCTGTCTTCCTGTATGGTAGTGAATATTCCGGGCAATCTCCTCACTGCACCAGAAATTTGATTCTATGTTGAGAATTCTATGGACTGATCATTCGAGCAACGCCGAAGTTTTAGAGGAAATGAAAATAAAACGAACCTACGTAAATCAGGAAGAGATTTGAAATTTCTATTGCACATAATGAGGAAAGGGGGCTTAGAAATTGTTTACTCATGGGACATGTGGAAAGAAAGATGCACAGAGTAAAACAGCGCATAATCAACGGAACGAGCTTCAGTAAATTAATTGAGGACAAAAATGTACGAAAGATACACAAAAGATTAACAAATACAAATGGCAGGAAAATGTAGAGAGACATTATCACCTATAATAGGCGCATAGAAAAATAATAATCTTTGAGGAAAACATATTCCTATAACGATACGAAATTAGAAATACCTTTGATCTAAACTGCATTGTGGCTCCAGGATTCAATCAATGATAATGGGCATTTGTTTTCTACCAGTGATGTTTCGTTTGATTATATTCTGGTTTAAGCTAATGCATTCACAATTTTCAGCTACTGCCATGGACGTTGGTATTATTACCTGTGATAATTATTTCAGAGCCAATATCTGGCGATCAATATTGTCTTTCAATACATGACTGATCAGGTAGATTTTTCCCGCAGTAGGTTGCCATTTCTTTCTGCGGTAGACCAGTCGCCATTCAAAGTAATAGAAACTGGTCTCTCCTGCTATTTGCCCATAGCTGGGAGGGAGAAAAAGAGGACTCATACCTTTCTCAAGGGTATTAGCACGTAAGTGAATGTAATGGATTCGACTGGAATTCGAACTCGGCTCTACAATTCCTTAATCCGACACGCTATCCATTACTCCAGCGTGCCTCCCTAGAGCCACTATCGCAATGTTAATTTAGTTGCCAGTGATGTTTGAAAGAATCGTCATTAAGGCTATCAAACCTAATAAGTTCTTTATTTTAGAGACTTTCTTAATGTTTCATGCTCCATTAATTCTTTGTTTCTTTTGTTTCGTTATTCGTTCATTTTTATTACATTCTTTCTTTTTCTTCATTTTGTTTTCTTTCATTTTTACCACATTTTTTTCTTGCTAGTTTTTCTTCTTCTGCATTTTAACTTTCCTTCAATCCACTTGCTTTTTATTTCAGTTTTTTTTAATCATTTCACCTCAAGCAAGGAGACAATGCCACTAGAGGGTTACAGGGAGTAGAAATCAGAGAGAATGAGAAGATTGAAAATAGTATGGTTCGAAGAAAGGACAAAATGGGAACAGAAAGCAAACGGTGGCGATTGACATTGCTTTTAAATTTTTGAAGATTGTAGTTATCAGGGAAGTCAGAAATCGGAAGTGATTTCCACAGGTGAGAAGTGCAAGGAAAAATCTGTAAGTGGCGTTTGCATCTAACTAGTTCACAAGTAAAACAGTAAGACTTAGTTCCCAATCTTGTAGCACGCTTAAATTCATGTACTTTGGGCGCCAAGCAGTTGCCTTGAAAATATGTGTATAACAGGCAAGGGATGTTACGTCACATTGGAGAGAAAGTAGCTGTTTCAATGATATCCTATTTTCGAGTTTTATCATTCCTACAACTGTATCTAACTTTAATTTATATCTTATTTACTTTGCATTACGATTAATGCTTACAGTGTCATCATTGGATGAATTTTGCAAAAAAACGCTCCGAGCATGAGCCTCGAGTTCGACTCTCACCAAAACACTGTCCGGGATCCGTTGAGGATTGTTCTTGCATGTTATATGTCATCGTGACCGAGGGTTTGAGTGTAATGATCATGGCAGATTATTCTCTCTATCTTCATAACTGTAACAGAGGTCTACTCAGCGTAATAGCTGGCCACTCGTATTCGAGGATACCAGACTATTAGGGAGGCTAGCCAATCCCTATTGACGACGCTCGCTCAGGCACATTTGTGTTTGTTCAACACCCACAGAACCAACCTGTGGTTTATACTCCAACTATGCTGAACAGACCTTAGTTACAGTTTCTGGGAGAGAGCGTGTTATCTAGCGTGATCAACAATCTGAACAAGGCCAGTACACTCAAGCCCTCGATCACGATGACATGTAGCTTTGTGCTAGCACAGATATCGAGGCGTTCCAAGGGTTCTGCTTACCCAATTTCAGTTTGAGTATGGTTTTCAGTCACTTTAAAAAGATCGATAATATCAGTTCTCCTTCCTGACAAATCGACTATGATGAGATTCGAACCCGGGTTTCATAGTAAGAAAGCGAACGTTCTAACTACACAGCCACGCGCCCATACTCAGCATTGTCCGATTGTAAACCACGGGTTGGTATTGAAGGCATAAAATGTTTCTGAACAGGAATATTGTGCAGGGATTATCTAGCAACACTAATAGATGGTTATACGCCTAACAGAGCAGCCAGCAATTAGGTTTTTAACATTTTATTTGCTTTTTATACTTGTATTCCATCCCATTTTTCTTTTTTCTAACTTTCATTCTACTGCATTTGGCATCTTTTAATGCTATTGTTTCATTCTTTTTCTTCCATTTCTTTTCCGACTCTATACTTTACTCTCTGCAACTTTCCACACTTACAAAAATATTTTTTTTTAAATAAAGAGCTATAACAGTTAATCTAGACTTAATTCTAACTTCCTGAAAAAAACTGTTTTAATACAAAATAATTAATAAATTTCAAACGACAATTACAATTTTTTTTAGCCAATGAATCGAAACAACAAATTTTACTATTACCATCTTCCTGTCTATATTTCTGAGATGAGGTATTATGTACATTATTTACATTATTCGGACTATTGTACGCTCCGACTTTCTTCAGGTGGTTGGAATGTCGAACTGAACCATTTATTTCGCTCACTGTTCTAGTTCCACGTGCCTCAAGGACACATGGCACAGTGGATAAAGGCGTTGGTTAGATCCATTGACAGGACACAAAGAGTGTGAGTTCAATACCCGGTTAAGGCAGTGGAGAATTTTCAGAGGGGAATTAACAGGAGATAACTGATAACTGACATCCATCATCATGGAACTGGAACAGTCTACCCCAGTGAGCGAAATAAAGGGTTCAGTCCGACATCCCAACCACCTGAAGAAGGCCGGAACGTACAACGGCCGAAACGTTGTAATAAATATGGCGACAAAGATGAAGACAATAGTCCGAATAATGTACCATTTTCCTATATTTATTATTTCCATCTTTTCTTTGATGGATTTGTATTTTTATTGTTTATCAAACCTTTGCAGGTTATTTAAAGCCAGAAAGTTTTACATCGTAAGAATTCTTTTGACAGACCTTTACTTTTTACTGATACAAGTTCTAATTAACCCATATCTGGGGAGAAAGAAAAGGTGGCTTTATAGCTTTCCTAAGATTATTTGGGCATACCTGAATATAATGCACCAGGCAGGAACTTGGCACCTCGATTTCCAATTCCGAGCCGTTATCTAATACATCACCCGCACATCAAAACTGATAGCACCTGATATCCCCAGGTGTTGCTTAACTCGATGTTGCTTAACTTCGGTAATCATACGAGAACCGGTGTTTCAACCTAGTATGGCCGTAAGCCACCGGCTTTATTTGTTTCGTCTGGTCTTTTTTTTTTGGGGGGGGGTCCGACGACGATGATTACATTTAAGGCGCCGTATGTCCAACTTTGTATTTCGTTCTTTCCCTCCTTTCTGCAGTTCCCCTACCTTTGTCACTTGGGGAACGTCCCAAATGTCAGAGAATCGAC